ATGATCTGTCCTTTGGTGAAAGTGGGGTGTTAAAGTCCCCTACTATGAATGTGCTACTGTCAGTTTCCCCTTTTATGGCTGTGAGTACTTGCCTTATGTATTGAGGTGCTCCTATGTTGGGTGCATAAATATTTACAATTGTTATATGTTCTTCTTGGATCGATCCCTTTATCATTATGTAGTGTCCTTCTTTGTCTCTTCTAATAGTCTTTATTTTAAAGTCTATTTTGTCTGATATGAGAATTGCTACTCCAGCTTTCTTTTGGTTTCCATTTGCATGGAATATCTTTTTCCATCCCCTTACTTTCAGTCTGTATGTGTCTCTAGGTCTGAAGTGGGTCTCTTGTAGACAGCATATATATGGGTCTTGTTTTTGTATCCATTCAGCCAATCTGTGTCTTTTGGTGGGAGCATTTAGTCCATTTACATTTAAGGTAATTATCGATATATATATTCCTATTCCCATTTTCTTAATTATTTTGGGTTCGTTATTGTAGGTCTTTTCCTTCTCTTGTGCTTCTTGCCTAGAGAAGTTCCTTTAGCAGTTGTTGTAGAGCTGGTTTGGTGGTGCTGAACTCTCTCACCTTTTGCTTGTCTGTGAAGATTTTAATTTCTCCATCAAATCTGAATGAGATGTTTGCTGGGTAGAGTAATCTTGGTTGTAGGTTTTTCTCCTTCATCACTTTAAATATGTCCTGCCCGTCCCTTCTGGCTTGCAGAGTTTCTGCTGAAAGATCAGCTGTTAACCTTATGGGGATTCCCTTGTGTGTTATTTGTTGTTTTTCCCTTGCTGCTTTTAATATGTTTTCCTTGTGTTTAATTTTTGACAGTTTGATTAATATATGTCTTGGCATATTCCTCCTTGGATTTATCCTGTATGTGACTCTCTGTGCTTCCTGGACTTTATTAACTATTTCCTTTCCCATATTAGGGAAGTTTTCAACTATAATCTCTTCAAATATTTTCTCAGTCCCTTTCTTTTTCTCTTCTTCTTCTGGAACCCCTATAGTTCGAATGTTGGTGCGTTTATTGTTGTCCCAGAGGTGTGTGAGACTGTCCTTAGTTCTTTTCATTCTTTTTTCTTTATTCTGCTCTGCAGTAGTTATTTCCACTATTTTATCTTCCAGGTCACTTATCCATTCTTCTGCCTCAGTTATTCTGCTATTGATTCCTTCTAGAGTATTTTTAATTTCATTTATTGTGTTCTTCATCATTGCTTGTTTCAACCTTAGGTCTTCTAGGTCCTTGTTAAATGTTTCTTGCATTTTGTCTATTCTCTTTCTGAGATTTTGGATCATCTTTACTATCATTATTCTGAATTCTTTTGCAGGTAGACTGCCTATTTCCTCTTCATTTGTTAGGTCTGGTGCATTTTTATCTTGCTCCTTCATCTGCTGTGTGTTTTTCTGTCTTCTCATTTTGCTTATCTTACTGTGTTTGGGGTCTCCTTTTTGCAGGCTGCAGGTTCGTAGTTCCCAGTGTGTTTGCTGTCTGTCCCCAGTGGCTAAAGTTGGTTCAGTGGGTTGTGTAGGCTTCCTGGTGGAGAGGACTAGTGCCTGTGTTCTGGTGGATGAGGCTGGATCTTGTCTTTCTGGTGGGCAGGTCCACGTCTGTTGGTGTGTTTTGGGGTGTCTGTGGACTTATGATTTTAAGCAGCCTCTCTGCTAATGGGTGAGGTTGTGCTCCTGTCTTGTTAGTTCTTTGGCATAGGGTGTCCAGCACTGTAGCTTGCTGGTCGTTGAGTGAAGCTGGGTGCTGGTGTTGAGATGGAGATCTCTGGGAGATTTTCGCCGTTTGATATTATGTGGAGCTGGTAGGTCTCTTGTGGACCACTGTCCTGAAGTTGGGTCTCCCACCTCAGAGGCACAGCACTGACTCCTGGCTGCAGCACCAAGAGCCTTTCATCCACACGGCTCAGAATAAAAGGGAGAAGAAAGAAAAGAAAGGAAGGAAGGAAGGAAGGAAGAGAAAGGAAGGAAGGAAGGAAGGAAAGAGGGAAGGAAGGAAGGAAGAAAGATGGAAGGAAGGAAGGGAAGGAAAGAAGGAAAGAAAGAAAGAAAGAAAGAAAGAAAGAAAGAAGATAAAATACAGTAAGATAAAATAAAGTTATTAAAATAAAAAATAATTATTAAGAAAAAAAATTTTTTTAAAGAAAAACAAAAAAAATCGACGGATAGAACCCTAGGACAAATGGTGAAAGCAAAGGTATACAGACAAAATATCACACAGAAGCATACACATACTCACAAAAAGAGGAAAAGGGGAAAAAACCATAAATCTTCCTCTCAAAGTCCACCTCCTCAATTTGGGATGATTCGTTGTCTATTCATGTATTCCACAGATGCAGGGTACATCAAGTTGATTGTGGAGTTTTAATCCACTGCTTCTGAGGCTGCTGGGAGAGATTTCCCTTTCTCTTCTTTGTTCGCAGAGCTCCCAGGGCTCAGCTTTGGATTTGGACCCGCCTCTGCGTGTAGGTCGCTGGAGGGCGTCTGTTCGCTTAGACAGGACGGGGTTAAAGGAGCAGCTGCTTCAGGGACTCTGGCTCACTCAAGCCTGGGGGAGGGAGGGGTACGGAGTGCGGGGCGATCCTGCAGCAGCAGAGGCCAGCATGACGTTGCACCAGGCTGAGGCGCGCCGTGCGTTCTCCCAGGGAAGTTGTCCCTGGATCCCGGGACCCTGGCAGTGGTGGGCTGCACAGGATCCCCGGAAGGGAGGTGTGGATAGTGACCTGTGCTCGCACACAGGCTTCTTGGTGGCAGCAGCAGCAGCCTTAGCGTCTCCTGCCCGTCTCTGGGGTCCACGCTGTTAGCTGCGGCTCGTGCCCGTCTCTGGAGCTCCTTTAAGCAGCGCTCTTAATCCCCTCTCCTCGTGCACCAGGAAACAAAGAGGGAAGAAAAAGTCTCTTGCCTCTTCGGCAGGTCCAGACTTTTTCCCGGACTCCTTCCCAGCTAGTCGTGGTGCACTAACCCCCTGAAGGCTGTGTTCCCGCCGCCAGCCTGTCCTCTCCCTGCACTCCTACCGTAGCCCGAGCCGCAGCTTCCAGCCCTGCCCACCATGGCGGGTGAGCAGACAGGCCTCTCGGGCTGTTGAGTGCCGGTCGGCCCTGATCCTCTGTGCGGGAATCTCTCCGCTTTGCCCTCCGCACCCCTGTTGCTGTGCTCTCCTCCGCGGCTCCGAAGCTTTCCCCCGCTGCCACCCACAGTCTCCGCCCATGAAGGGGCTTCCTAGTGTGTGGAAACCTTTCCTCCTTCACAGCTCCCTCCCACTGGTGCAGGTCCCATCCCTATCCCTTTGTCTCTGTTTATTCTTTTTTTCTTTTGCCCTACCCAGGTACATGGGGACTTTCTTGCCTTTTGGGAGGTCTGAGGTCTTCTGCCAGCGTTCAGTAGGTGTTCTGTAGGAGTTGTTCCACGTGTAGATGTATTTCTGGTGTATCTGTGGGGAGGAAGATGATCTCCGCGACTTACTGTTCTGCCATCTTCCCCTCGTCCTTGTCTTCTTTTTGATGATATCCATTCTGACAAGTGTGAGGTGATATCTCATTGTGGTTTTGATTTGCGTTTCCCTGATGATTAGGGATGTTGAGTATCTTTTCATGTGCCTGTTGGTCATCTGCATGTCCCTTTTAGAAAAATATCTATTCAGTTTCTCTGCCCATTTTTAACTGGGTTGTTTGTTTTTTTGATACTGAGTTGTATGAGCTGTTTATATATGTTAGATATTAACCCCTTATCAGTCATAGCATTTGCAAATACTTTCTCCCATTCTGAGGGCTATCTTTTCGTCTTGTTTATGGTTTCCTTTGCTGTGCAAAAGCTTTTAAATTTAATTAGGTCCTATTTGCATATTTTTGCTTTTATTTCCTTTACTCAAGGAGACAGATCCAAAAACATAATGCTGCAGTTTATGTCAGAGTGTTCTGCCTGTGTTTTCCTCTATGAGTTTATAGTGTCCGGTCTTACATTTAGGTCTTTAATCTATTTTGAGTTTACTTTTGTGTATTGTGTTAGAGAGTGTTCTAATTTCATTCTTTTACATGTAGCTGTCCAGTTTTCCCAGCACCATTTATTGAAGAGACTGTCTTTTCTCCATCGTGTATTCTTGCCTCTTTTGTCATAGATTAACTGACCTTAAGTGCATGGGTTTACTTCTGGACTCTCTATCCTGTTCCATTGATCTATATGTCTATTTTTGTGCCTGTACCATAGTCTTTTGATTATTGTGGCTTTGTATTATAGCCTGAAGCCAGGAAGCATGATTCCTCCAGCTCTGTTCTTTCTCAAGATTGTTTTGGCTACTTGGGGTCTTTTGTGTTTCCATACAAATTAAAAATTTTTTGTTCTGGTTCTGTGAAAAATGCCATCGGTAGCTTGATAGGGATTGCATTGATTCTTTAGATTGCCTTGGGTAGTATGGTCATTTTAGCAATACTGATTCTTCCAATCCAAAAACACAGTATATCTTTCCATCTGTTTGTATCATCTTCAGTTTCTTTCATCAGTATATTACAGTCTTCAGAGTACAGGTCTTTTGCCTCCTTAGGTAGGTTTATTCGTAGGTATTTTATTCTTTTTAATGCAATGGTAAATGAGATTGTTTCCTTAATTTCTCTTTCTGATATTTCATTTTTAGTATATAGAAATGCAACAGATTTCTGTATATTAATTTTGTATCCTGCAACTTTACTGAATTCCTCTATGAGCTCTAGTAGTTTTCTGGTGGCATCTTTAAGATTTTCTATGTGTGGTATCCTGTCATCTGCAAACACTGACAGTTTTACTTCTCCCTTTCCAATTTGTATTTCTTTTTCTTCTCTGATTGCTATGGCTAGGACTTCCAAAACTATGTTGGTAAAAGTGGTGAGAGTGGTCATCCTTGTCTTGTTCCTGATCTCAGAGGAAATGTTTTCAGCTTTTCATTATTGAGAATGATGTTAGCTGTGGGTTTGTCATATGTGGCCTTTATTATGTTGAATTATGTTCCCTCTATGCCCACAGATTGGCCAAGATGGTGGAGTAGAAAAACCCTGAGCTCACCTCCTCTCACGAGCACATCAAAATCACAGCTGTCTGCGGAACAACCATTGATGAAAAAGACTAGAACCTATCAGAAAAGATCTTCTACAACTAAAGACATAAAGAAGGAACAACAACGAGAGAGGTAGGAGGGGCGGACTCACGGTCTAATTATGTCCCATTCCCCTGAGTGGGTGAACCACAAACTGGAGAATAATATTGAAGAGGCTCTCCCACAGGAGTAAGAGTTCTGAGCCCCACATCAGGCTCTCAGGCTGGGGTCCTACCCTGGGAAGATGACCTCCCAGAGCATTTGGCTTTGAAGTCCTGCATGCCTTTATTTTGGGAAACCCATAAGACTGGAGGAAATAGAGACTTCGCTCTTAATGGGCACACACAAAATCTCATGTGCACCAGGATGCAAGGCAAAAGGACTAACTTGATAGGAGCTGGGGCAAGCCTACCTAGTAGTCTTAGAGAGTCTCATGGAGAGGCAGGATGTGGCTGCAGCTCACTCTGGGGACACTGGTGGCAGCTATATTTTGGAACATTCTACTGCATGAACACTGCTGGTGGCAGTTGCCATCTTGGGATCCACCCTCTAGCTCATTAGTGCCAAGACCTGGCCCCACCCAACAGCCTGTAGGTGCCAGTGCTGGACACCTCAGGTCAAACAACTAACTGGACAGTGACACAGCCTCACCCATCAGCAGCCAGGCTGCCTAAAGGCTTTCTGAGCCCACAGCCACCTCTAGACACAGCCCTGCCCACCAGAAGACCAAGACCCAGCTCCACCCACCAGTAGGCAGGCTCCAGCCCTGCTCTCCAGAAAGCCAGCCCTAGCCTCTGAACCAGCTTCACCCACCATGGGGCAGATACCAGATGCAAGAAAACCATGATCCTGCAGCCTGCAATTCCAGCCTCCCAGACCCTATCTAGGGACAAGCTGGGCCCTTGCTCCATCCACTAGCAGGCCAACACAAGTTTGGAAAAACCCAGACCCCATACCCAACTGAGCTGATTTCTGAAGAATCATATTTTATAGGTGAACAAGAAAAGGGAAAAGAAAAAACAAACAAAAAAGGATATTGTGAGAAAAGACAGTGAAGTAGAAATTAATAAGGTATAAAAGGAATAAAAATATAAACCTAATAAGAGGAAAAGGAATGTGTTAGAAGGTAGTGGGGAGAAAGTTCCAGCATGTAGAGTGGGACAACCTAACAAACTGTCTTCCATTCATGGCCAGGATAATGCCCACACACCCTATTTGTCATGTGCCTTCTAGTCATTTGTAGTCCAACTGAACATTCTGTTCTCATCAAGCTCATTACTAACCTGTATTCTCCCAGAACAGCACACATATCCAATCACATGGTCCACGTAGGATGACACTAGCATCAAAATCAATGTAGTTTTCTGATAAGATTGTGCTTTATCTTACCTTGTATTCTCAAGGTAGGTGCAGACGAGCTCTTTGCAATAGTACATCCCTTCTCATCATTATTTACTTCTCCTTTCCATTTCTTTTTCTTGTTCTTGGTGCTCATTTGTTCATTATTAATTCAACAAGCATGTTACTGAGCTTCTACTCACCCTCACGCTCTGGGCCAGACACTGGAAATACAGACACATGTAAGACTCTTTTTACACTTAAGAAACTTTTAGTCTAGAGAGAGGTACAGATAAGTCAAATGTGCGACTCCAGTAGAGTTTGATGCATGCTCTTGGTTGCAACACCTCACGCAGCTCTCTGAGGAAGTTCATCTAAACTGAACACTAAACAGAACAAGTAGGTAAAGGTGGGTGGCGAATGGGGTCTGCTTCAGTCAGAAAGAACAGTATGTGAAACTTGAAGTGAGAAAACACAGCACACTTGGAGGACCACAAGAAATATGACATGAGCTACAGCTTGATAGAGAACAGATTAGTGACAGAACAACCCTGCAATAGGAGCCCCATTATCATAAGTCTTTGATAATTTCATTTAATCATTGACTCACTGGGCACACACTTAATGAGTACTCATTGTGTGTCAGGAGTTGTGCTAGAGACTAGACACAGAATTCCACACAAGACCCAGACCTGCCTCAAAGGAGCTTTCAATCTAGCTGAGATGTTATAGCACTGGACTGGCAGTTTATGAGGGTTGTGATGGCTGCAGAGGAGCACGTGACTCATTCCAGATTCATTCTGTAACGTTCTTTCTGCCTCTGATCTCCTTTTCTTCTCTTCCAGACTCATTTTTTTAAATTTTTATTTATTTTTTTGTGAGATTTGTTAAGTTCTCCTGCTGTACTCTTTATTTTGTTCTTACTCCTATTGTTGTTTAAATAACCAAAATGGACATCTCCATTAATATTCAGAAATATATCCTTCCAAATAAATCACATAGATTGCATGTACTCAGGTTCATTTTATTGTTAAATTTGCTGAGAAATCTATAATGGATTTTAAGCCTAATTTTTATCTAAACCTTTTATATTTTTAAATAAACGAGAAAGCAAGAGTTAGAAATAAATGTAAGAAAGATAGTGTAAGTATTGTTCTCCTTCTGTCTATATGAAGCCAAATTAAAATGTAGAAATTAAGAAAATATTGAATTAAGGAAATAAACTTAATAGTAGAAAAAATTACAAGAGCACAAAGAGTTTATCTCTATAATTTAATTCAGCATTTCTTCAAGGAGGCAGGAATTTGTCAATAAGCAAGTTGTCACTAACAGTAAGTTCCTGGGGAAGGTTGAAGAGCTGGCTGAAACAAATAAAACAGTAATAACACTACTGAGAAAAGGTAAATAGGATGCTGGAGCAAACAGTAGTAAAAAGGAATGAGATAGGGAAGAATAAATAATAGAAACACTGAGAAAGCAATGTTTTGGGATTGAACATAACAACAAGGAAATTAAATTCAGAGAGATAGGACATGAAAAAAGAGAATAAGCTTAGTTTTCTCTCTCCTGCTTCTCTATCCAAGAGAAATAACTGTCGGCTACAGATCATAAAGCTTTATGGACTCATGACCTCTGACCTCTGACCCTGTGATTTATTTTCTCTGAGCAGAGATGCAACCCCTCCTCCTTCCGAGAAAAATGAGGCAACATGGCTGGGTGGCTTCTCCCCATCCATCAGGCAATGAAATGTGTCTGGGTCTCAATTTTCCATCAGCACTCTTGCTTCAGGCCAACTCAGGACTGGTTTACAGACCAATACAAAGAATCAGCAGACACATTTTACTTAAAATATATATTCCACTTATAAATCCTTTCTACTGAACCACAGAAGGCAAGCAGTTCCCAGTTTAATTAACACACTTAAATTGCTGAGAGTCAGCAGAACCAGTTCATAATTGGCCAGAGCTGATCTGCCCCCTTTGCAAAAAAAGTTAACTCAGTGTAAAGGAAGAAGAGTTCCTTCATTTGCATTGGCCTCTTCTATTTGATAAGTAGAGGTGTCCATTTGTAAATGGGTACATTTGCACAACAGGCCATCAAAAAGGTATTTCCAGAAGAACAGTAATAATTAGAGTACACATGCCCTCTTTGATGCCATTTGAAGCAGCAAGGAGACTGATTGGAGTCGGGGTGGGGTGGGGGAGGAGACCTGGGGTAAAATGTTCTATTGTGAAGCGAAGACTGCTGGTAGCCAGAGTTGGCTCTGGCTTTTGGGGGCAAAGGAGACTGAGTCATCTTCCTTCATAGAGCTGATTTGTTGAAAGGGCACAAGAAATTCCCAGGGATTTCATGCTGCTTTGAAACAACCTGCATTTCAAACGGATGGGAAAGGGGGTGGGAGAAATGGGTTTTGTTGCTAGGTCTCCCTAAGACTTGCCAAAATTTTGCCTCTTTCTTTGTAAACCCAGTAACTGCCCCAGCTGGGCTCCCCATTACTCTAAACAGGAAAGGGATGAATATGCCCTGTCCTTTTCAGCTTGCAAATGTGCTTTGGTGAGGGCAAACATGGCCATGTTTGTTCTCCCTGGGGAACAAGTCAGGCACGAAGTCCCTTTTGTTCACGCTAAGAACAACCTTCTCTTATTTCCAAGTCTCAGAGGGGCTGGTGACTTAATCTGGAAATATGAACATGAATACTACCTGGAAAGGGAAAGGGCTGCACTCTCTGAAGTTGTCTAGGAGTTGGTGTCTGTCTGAAGCCCCCAGGAGATACAGAAATGCGGGTGATTCCAGGGAGAGTCCCCCTTTAGTTGGTGTACAGGTCCATAAAGGGAGTTTCCCTGATACGCAGGAGAGCACAGAGCTGATCCTACAGTGTCTCTAGTCTTAGTTTACAAAAGGGTTATGAGCTGAAGGAGTGAGACATCTTAGATACCATAGGAATATAAAAATATAGCCATGATTAGTGTATTAGTGTATGTTTCCTAATGAATATATGCAAAGAAGAGAGCAGAGGGATGGATGTTTCAGCAGTGAGTTCATGAGACCTTGCACATTATGTTGTGTGTGGTGTGTGTGTGTGTGTGTGTATATATATATATATATATGTCCATGTATAAGGTGCTTGGGTAGGTTGATAATAAAAATAAGCCATCATCCTTATCTTCACTGAATTTACAGGAAGAAAACAAAAGAGTATTAGAGTCTTATTATGATTAAAATAAAGGGCAGGTACAGTATGGTACTGATGCGTACCATATGAGAGAAACAAAGAACTCTGGGGGTTTAAAAATGAGAGATATCATATTTCATCAAGTGAAATCAGGGAAGGCTTTATGCAGGACGCAGCCTCCAACATGAAACTTGATGCACGAGGAGGCCTCCAACATATGGTGGGTAGAAGGGAGGGTATTTCACTAATGGGGAGAAAGTGATCAAGAGTGCCCAGGTAAGAAAGTACAGGACTTGCTGGTAGAACGGTGTGGTTTGACTGAAGCATCACATTCTTATTGTGAGCAAGAAATAGTAAGAAATAAAAATAAACAGCCAGATCAGTGTCATATTATTGAAGGCCTTAAAATGTTAGGCTATTTGTTTGTTTAACTAGATAAAGAATAGGGACTATTTGAAGATTTTGAACAAGGAAGTGATATAATTGGAACTATTCAGAAATTAATCTAATAATAGGATATATTAGAAGAAGATTGGAGTTTGAAACCCACAAGACCATCTATTTTAGTAATCTAGTCAAAATGTACCAAATCTTTTATATTAGAACTGTGGAAGCAGGAATAGTGAAAGAGAGAGATTGGAGAGACTTTGAAAAAGTAGATTCTACAGGCTTGTCAACTCATTGATGTGGCTGGCAAGGGAGAGAGAAGAGCCAGAGATGATGCCAGGGTTTGGAGTCCAAGGGATTGGAATAACAGTGTTGCCATGGAGAGAAAAGATAATCTGGAGTTTTGGAGGAAGTGGATTTCAGTTTGGGGTATATCGAAGCAAAGGTACTAGCTAGAAACAGAAATGCTTAGCAGGCAGCTATATTATAGCAAACAGGCCAGGGCTAAGACATAGAATTAGGAGTCATTGATTTAGCAAATTGTTGGGGAGAACCTACTCTGTGCCAGGCACTGTGTTGGGGTACTGGGGTTACTGAGATAAATAAGGCCAATGACTTCTGGTGTCACAGAGTTTATAGTCCAGTCAGGAATAAAGACAGGTAAATCCACAGTCCCCTGAAAAGTGATAGCTTCTTTGAGGGAAAGGAGGGAAGCACAGGGTGTGATGCAACAGGAAAAGTTCCAAAGTACCTCACCTAGACTTTGGGGGTCAGGAAAGGACCCTAGAAGAATGTGACTTACAACAGGCACAAGACTGGGGGCAGGGAATTAGGATGAACATTTCCATGAAGTATGAAAGTCCTGCTTAGAAACTGTTGCCAAAGAAGCAGGAGGAAAAGCAAAAGAGATCTGTGTATTCGAATAAAAGAGAGGAGGGTTAAAGATAGTGGCATAGGAAGACCCTGAACTCACCTCCTCCCAAGGACACAACAAATCTACAACTATATATAGAATAATTTTCTCTTCAAGGGACCTGAGAACTGGATGAACACAGTCTCTACAGCAAAGGGTAAAAGGACAGTGTTAGAGGGTAGGAGAAACAGATACACGATTACACCAAGGAAAAACACCACACCCTAGCTGCAGTCATCCACAGTCAGGAAGATTCACAAAGATACAGTTATTTTCCCTGAGGAGCGAGGGATTTGAGCTTCACATCAGGCACCCAAACCCTTAGATCTGCACAGGAGAAACCAAATTCCAAAACATCTATCTTTGAAAACCAATGGGGAATATGTCCAGGAAAATTATAGAACTACAGGGAATGGAAAACATGCTATTAAAGGACTTGTGCACAGACTCACTCAACCCAAAATACTGCAAAAACACCAGATTGAAAAGTGCGCAGATATGGTCCATGGGTCCATGGTCCTATGCGGTGAAGGGGACCTACTTACTAATCTTGAAGCATCTGCCCAAGAAGCAGGAACCAGCTGGAATTCTCCCTGGAGTTTGAGACACTGGGGAGAGCCATTTGTGCAATTTCAGGCCACCTTGCTAATATCAGCTTTGGCAGGCACCATTTTGGAAATCTCCATCTAACCCGTTAGTGCAAGTGGGCAGCTTAGACCCCCACCCACCCAGACATCTCCGCTAGACCTCACAGCCACCTGGGCAATAACCCCTTCCACCAGCAGACGGCAGCCACCGCAGATGAGCCCTGCAGTCGTTCCAGGGGCCAGTCCTGCCAACCAGCACCCACCAGCCTCCTCAAGCTCCTACCGCCTTCTGGTGTTGATTTTCATTGTCATTTACTGATAAGCACCTCGGTCATTAGAAATAATAACTGTTCACAAAATGTTTTAAATAGCCTAGTAGCAGAAGTAGCTTGGCATCCAGGACCATAAATAGACTCTGGGTTCTGAGATTTAGATAACCTCCTGAAAGTAGACAGGACATGAAGTAGATATGCTTTATGCACGTCGTGGCAGAGCAACCATAAAGATGCATAGTTCCAAGTTAGGCTCACAGGCTCACAGGATACAGAACTTCCCTATGGATAGTATGGTGGTTGGTAAGGAGGTTAAATACATAGACTTTTTTGCTGAAAAAAAAATGCATACAGTTGTCCTTCATTTAAATATAAATAAATATCTTATTAGTTCTGATGGTTTCTTTCTTCTCATTATTAGCTTCAGGGACAAGAAGCAAGGCATCTTAGTTTTCAGAAGCTCTCACATTTTGAATTCTCAGTAAATACTAAGAAAGCAATCCAATATGTGAAAATAAAAAGCCAGAATAAATCTGCCTCCTTTCTTGAATGCTTAACCTTTAAGCACTCAGCAGGGAAGAAGAATATTTCCTAATATAGAAATAGAGAGTTGTTTGTTACAAAAAGGGAAAAAATCCAATTAAAAAGTGGGATTTGTGAGGCCCCTGCTTTGGCATGAACCACAAAGCAGAGTCGATACATCAGCTCTAATGCCAAAGACATGAATGCCTGATACTGGAGATTATAAACCAGTTTCCAGTTTATTGGCTTTCTCATTGTAGAAGGTGGTTGAATGTTCTGATATCAGTACTAAATATTACGGAATAAACTTAAGAAATAAAGCTTAAACTTCTTTTGCCTCAAATGCCTACATAAAATGACTACAACTTGCCAAAGTGTTCAACTAAAACATGAAAAATTGTCATACTGGTTGTTTTATATCACGCAGAGCAAAAATGATCATTTTACTCAGTGATCTATCATTTAAGCCCATTGGGTCCAGTAATTATTGGGTCCAGTAAGACCATTTCCAATGACATCTATGTCACTCTTTAAGAAAAATAAAATAATGCAATGAGTGCTTTTGGAGCAGGCATCTTCAGTGTTCTGCCCACATCCCCTCCGATCCCTCTGCTATTCTCATATATCCCTGCTACCAGAGCTCTCATGCTCCCAACAGCCAGCACCTGCCTCTCTGTTGGAGAGCTTCCTTGATGCTCCTGGATACTGCTTTGCCTGCAGGCATTGAGACCCATAGGTGCCCTACTAATAATACAGAATGTTTACTGATTGTTTACTATATGCGGGACCTTACATTAAGCAGTTTATCTGAATTATTCCATTAAATTCTCACAGTAACTCTGCATGATATAAATGAAGAAATTATTGACTCAATAATTTCCTTTCCATAAAATTGCTATTCTAATATTATTATACATGTGTACTATGATGTATGTACAAAGTTGTTCACTGTAATAATTTTTTTTAAAAAAACACTGACAACCTAAATTTTCATCAACAAGGGACCAGTCAAATAAATGTTGGTGCATCCCTAGAACAGAGTCCTATGCAACCAGGCAAAAGAATGAGGCAGCTGTATGTGCACTTAATGGGATGTATTGTTAGGTAAAAAAACAAGATGCTGAACAGTCATACATACATAGATTATGAGTGTGTGCTGATTATTTTTATAAAGAGAATAAGAAATTGGAAGAATTTAATGGGAAGATATACCTTTGGAGGTGGGGTTGGAGGTCTGGGGTAGGAGGTAGACTTATTTTTTTTTACACTCTTGTTTAACTGGGTGCTTATAATTTTTTCAATTTGAAAATAAATAAATACAAAGTTAAGTGCAGAATTCAGACAGAGAAGGAGTGAGAGAAGCTGATAAGCTCTCTCAAAACTTGTTTAGAGATCAGATATTTCAAATACATATATTTATTAATGATATTTACCCAGAAGTAAATAAGATTTACTTAGAAGTGGGGGTGTTATCATTTCCATTTTAAGGATAAGGAACTGAGACTGAGAATTAACTAAATTGCTCAAGTGCACACAGCTAGTGAATAGCAGAGCCAGGATTTCAAAGACAGTTTGATTTCTAAACCCTTATTTTTTACTCTATATCATTTTGCTTTCAAAATCCAAAATAGACTAATGAAACTATTCAGTAACCTTACAAAAATGAGCTAAGTTTTAACAACAGAGAAATGCAATAGTAACTTTTTAATTTAATTATGATAAAATCTACTTGCTTCAAACAAAATTTAGTATAAATACAAATTCAGTCACAGGAAAACGTTTCTCTTTAAGTACTAGTAAAATTATAATTAATTAATTTCTAATGAAAATATAACATAAATTGACTAGAAAATATGGGAAATAAATGGAATGATAGCTATATATATATATTTCTTTATCTTTTTTTTCCCAAAAGAAATAGGAAATTTATTTACTGGGTAAAAGAATAATTTCCCTGAAAACCACTCTTATGTCTCACTTAGAAACTTTTTATAAAGGCAAGTCATAAAACCAAAGCGGCACAGAGAGACCCAACCAGTGATATGCTGTAGACACTGATACAGTCTTACAAGAGCTAAAGTTTTAGGAACTTTGATAATCAATTATTAAAGACAGCTGTTAATTTTAAATTAATTATATAAACTATAAAGAAAATAAAGGTAATATACATTCAAAATTCATTAATTCCTACTTAATTTAATATTTCCTATAAAAATATTGAGGTTACTCATCTATATGATGGAAATATGTATTATGGTGTGCCGCTACGACTCTCATCCCAACTCCATGTTTCATGACGTCACATTGGTAGTTTGAAATCAACCTTGGTGGGAGTATTTACACTATAGCTTAGCAAAGGCTAACAATTGGGGCTTTTTCTTTTACATAAAATCAATTTTTAAACAATTATGAACACATCACTAAATTCCACTCCCATTATTGGCATAAATGTATAAAGTTTGCTATTTATAGCCTTTTAGGAGGGAAAAAAAAACCTCATGACTTTTGCAGTAAAAGATGACTATTAAAACATCTAGTGATGAGATTTGGCCAGTCATTCTCATGGTTGATCCTAGAAACTATTACCAACTATCATTTATCAAATGTACCCATCTAAGTTCCTTTAAAAGAAAAGAAATCAAAAAGAAAAAAGTAAAAGTCAAAATATTTCCTTCTTTCAGTAGGAACTGTGGTTCTAGATTCATAATCTCTTCTTTAGAAATTGTGTATGGGTCCATAGAATTGAGGGCCTATAAATGGATCTATTCTCTATCTTATGCATGTTTATAGATCTTAAAAAAAGAAAATGTTTTTCTACTCATAAAGGCAATTTCTTTTCATATTTTCTGAAACACAATGATAGACAAAGACACCAATAATTGAAATGATTTTGAAACCCAGGAAACAATAATAATGGAAGCCAATTTAAATTGAATGATGAATCTTCAAAGACAGTGATCTATAAGATGCTGTAATGCGTGGCTATCATATCTGCAAGGTATGTGGGGATGATTTCTAATCATCTATTTGTTAAAGATTTTGGATGTTAAAATTTTTAAAATATTTTTATTGGGGTATAGTTGATTTACAATGTTGTGTTAGTTTCAGGTGTACAGCAAAGTGAATCAGCTATTGATATATATATATCCACTCTTTTTTATTTTTTTATTTTTCCCATATAGGCCATTACAGAGTATTGAGTAGAGTTCCCTGTGCTATACAGTAAGTACTTATTAGTTATCTATTTTATATATAGTAGTATGTATATGTCAATCCCAATCTCCCAATTTATCCCTCCCCTCCCCGTTTCCCCCGGTAACCATAAATTTGTTTTCTATAAACTTGCTAGAAAAATCAGTAAGTCATAAATACATAAAGTAAATGGTTTTATTGATACACCTCAGGTTTCCACATTATTTTTAGAGAAAAAACTAAGTTTGACCAATGGAGGGACCTGGTTTCTCCTCCATAGAATCAGCTTGCAACTCCCTGCCCATAAGTCATTTGTTTTAAGAGGGCACTGTTACATATACTTATATATATTTTAAACCATCTTGGCCTTTTGCACACACAAAAAGGAAGTTTCCAGTTAAAGTATTTGATTGCTCTCCGAGAACAATAATATGTATTGAGAGGCATAGTTAGAAGACACTGGATTAAGCTGATAGTATCTAAGGATAACTCCCTAGTCACTCAGTTACGTTTCTAGAAGTTGTTCCGCTGACTAGGGTTCACTGATCTTATTAAACAGAATTCTAACTTCTTTCTTTGTAAGACGACCTAAAGGGAGCAGAGCTGAAGCTTCTCAATTGGAAAAAGCACTTGTTCATGATTACCGGGCATGCCAGCTTAAGCACAATTAAGTTTGTATTATGTATGCAAAACCAGCCCCAACCAGCTAGGCAGCTTGGTAGTCACCTGCATTATGTGATAGCAAGGAACACAAAAGAATTCCTTTAAACAATTGTTACATACTTCAGCCTGTTGTTCTTAAAATTCCCACTGTTGGGGGCTTCCCTGGTGGCGCAGTGATTGAGAGTCCGCCTGCCGATGCAGGGGACACGGGTTCATGCCCCAGTCTGGGAGGATCCCACATGCCGCAGAGTGGCTGGGCCTGTGAGCCATGGCCGCTGAGCCTGCACGTCCGGACCCTGTGCTCCGCAACAGGAGAGGCCACAACAGTGAGAGGCCCGCGTACCGCAAAAAAAAAAAAAAATTCCCACTGTTTAAATTACTGCATTGGATGAACCATTGTCTCCAGAGGAAAGTCTTAAGAACCAAAGGAAAGCTTTAAATGCATATTTAAATAAAGAAAAAAATGAAGACTGGAGAAAATAAGTTAAGAATTCACCTTAAGAATCTGGAGGAAAAAGGACAAAAGATAAACACAAAGAAAATACAAATAGAAAAAGAAAAATTAATGGAAAGAAAGTTAGAAAGATACCATCACTAAACTATAAACAAATGAAAACTGGAAAAATATTTGGAACTCATGTCATGATGGGCTTATTTGCAATTAGCAAAGTGCAAATTGAAACAAAATGTTGAGTTACCATTTTATATCTTTCACGTTGACAAAATTTTAAAATCCTGATAATAACACGTTTGGGTAAGGATGTGGGATAATATAAAAGTTCATATACCACTATATGAATTGTACAAACACAGTGGAAGCAAGTTTTTGATCTAATAAAGTCAAAGATGCCCTTCTCAGCAACTCAGCAATTCTTCCTCTAGTCAAGTTCCATAGCATTTTTTTGCATATGTGCACAAGGGGACATGTACAAGAATAATCCTTGTTTGATTGTTTAAAAGAACAACAGATGTGGAAATAAGTGTCTTTCAGTTTGAGAATGGACAAAGATAAAGTGTTAAACTTTTACAGTAAATCTTATATAGCAATTAATTAATTCACTAGAGCTATCAATATAAATATGTATCAATGTAAGTAAATCTCAAAGACATAATTTTAAGCAAAGAAAGGTAAGTATGGAATGACATTTACAATAGGATTGTTATTTCCATAAAGTATAAAAACATGCAGATAAAGCATTATATGTTTAACATGATTAAAAAGTGCAAAATCATGAACAGAAAGGATACAAGACTTCAGGACTGTGACTCCTTGTGGGGAGATAAGGACAGAAATGAGTTTCTGAAAGAGCATACAGGACCTCCTACTAAAAATATAACATTTTTTTTAAGTTAATATGGTTAAATGGTATATTTAACTAAATCTGATAATAGCTGCAGGACATTTGTTTTATTTTTTCTGTGGACATTTTGTGAGTTTTAAATAGGTCATAATAAAAAAATTTGACAGAATAATAAAATGCACTCTTCAGAGCGTCTCCCAAAATCATTTTAATCAGCAATTACTCCTCACTACTTTGAAAAAAATTGGGATAACTTTAGTTGATTTTGTCATGAATTTCTACATATTGTTAAATTCCTGTTTTTAAAACAAAACGTTTGATGTTATAACAGATCCTACTTTTGTCCTTAAAAGGACTTTAAGCAAGTTGCCTTTTCCTCCAAAGAAATATATTTATCAGTTTTATTTGTACAGATCAAGAGCACACTTGAACACACATATACATAACAGTCTTACATCTATGTAAACAAAACAGACATACATACACACATATGTACATACACATGCTCATACACATGTTCATTCACATACACACACATACTTCTAATTTCCCATAGCATGTGGTATTACTGTATTTGATTGTAATAAGATTGAATAACTGTCATGATTTTATTTTTTAATTGATATATACATATTGGAGTTTCTTCATACTTACGCTATAGAATCCTGTTGTAAGACATAAGTACCATAAGGTATGTCTCTGGCATCACTGGGACACCTGCTTACGGTTAAAACACCATTGGCATCTTTCACAATTTTACATTTGTTCGTGTAATTCATATTTAATCTGAAATCGCTTGGATTTGAATGAGTTTTGGAGGTCATCTGGGCTGCCACTTTGCTGATAAAGTGTTTTGTCTTCTGATATTACAGTTCAATTTATTTCTTTTTAAGCATTTCTATAATCTATACTTACTACGCATTTTTAGCAGTTCCTTTTTAGAGAGGAAGTAAATAAACTACCCACAATGATTAATGACCTTAGAAATTTGCATATGCTGCATTAAGAATCGGTTTTAATAACAATATTCTCATGATAACGTTCCATTTATGTTTCATACGAAATATGGCAGTAGTTCAATTTCTGTATGTAAACACAGTTTGAAATTTAGCAGAAAATTAAAGTATTCAGAAATGAGCTTTACTCCTTTTGTAAAATGGCCATCTAATAAGACCGATTTGTGGAACTGATATTGTGTTTATTGATTAAGCTTTAGTGTTGCCCGAAGTGTTTCTCTTATGGCGAATGACAGAGAAAATAATTATAATGGGCTGTGTCTTTGACAGAATCTATAATCACTGAAATGGCAGCACATGATTAAGTTTATGTGTAGATTGTGGAAATCATTGCTTCTTCAGAAGAGGACAAGTGTATGGGTCTTCAAGAGTGAAATAAGGCAAGATGAAAGGAGTAATTAAACCTGGCGGTATTGGTGTTCCCATCAATAGAACTTCAGTTATACAAATTACATCTTTCCTCACCTTGCCCCTCCTTCCTCTCTTCCTTAGGTTTTAAATTCAAGTCCCCCTGAGCAAAGTTGTGAAAAGGATTTTGTTTTCTTTTGCCTTGCCAAATCAGCCTCTTTCAACAGAGAAACACTGTAATCTGGTCCCTGAATAAGGTAATCTTGTAATCCCTGTTTGGGATGGAAATGTATACAGTGCTTAAACCTATTACAGTCTTTGAGCATACATCCTCTTTGGCCCTAAAAAGCCTGTGAGTAATCTAGGTGTTTGGGAAGGTAAACAGTGAACTCATTTAGGCCAGAAAATACAATTTAATGCCAAGGCAGTCACTGAGGTACTTATAGGGTAGGGGGAAACAACTGGGGCTATGATCCTTCAAGATGAAAAAAAGAAATCCTTACGGCTTCAAGCCAAACCTTGTTTGGAATGAAAAACTCAGCATCTCTTTCCAGCAACTCTCATCTATTGGATTTCACCTAAAATGTCTGGGAGTGACTTAGAATATATAAGGAATTCTAAGAGGTGAGTACTTTTTTTCCTAGGATTCCTTTTGATTGGAAAAAAATGACTAAATTTAAAGGGAATCAGGAGTTACAGAGCCAGAAGAGAGGTCAGCAGGCAGCAGCTTGACTTCTACATTTGAAATTAACCCCTTGATTGGAACCAAGATGGTGGAGTAGAAGGACGTGCGCTCACTCCCCCTTGCGGGAACACCAGAATCACAACTAGCTGCTGGACAATCATCGACAGGAAGACACTGGAACTCACCAAAAAGATACCCCACATCCAAAGACAAAGGAGAAGCCACAATGAGACGGTAGGAGGGGTGCAATCACAGTAAAATCAAATCCCATAACTGCTGGGTGAGTGACTCACAGACTGGAGAACACTTATACCACAGAAGTCCACCCACTGGAGTGAAGGTTCTGAGCCCAACGTCAGGCTTCCCAACCTGGGGGTCTGGCAACGGGAGGAGGAATTCCTAGAGAAGCAGACTTTGAAGGCTAGTGGAATTTGATTGCAGGACTTCGACAGGAGTGGGGGAAACAGAGACTCCACTCTTGGAGGACACACACAAAGTAGTGTGCGCATCGGGACCCAGGGGAAGGAGCAGTGACCCCAGGGGAGACTGAACCAGACCTACCTGCTAGTGTTGGAGGGTCTCCTGCAGAGGCGGGGTGTGGCTGTGGCTCACCATGGGGACAAGGACACTGGCAGCAGAAGTTCTGGGAAGTACTCCTTGGCATGAGCCCTCCCAGACTCTGTCATTAGCCCCACCGAAGAGCCCAGTAGTCTCCAGTGTTGGCTTGCCTCAGGCCAAACAACCAACAGGGAGGGAACCCAGCACCATGCATCAGCAGTCAAGCGGATTAAAGTTTTACTTTAACCTAATACGTTTTGCTCTATTACAAAGCTTATCATACTTTTCTGAAATGTAATAGTAAGAAGGTCTAGTAGTGGTCATTTGTCACCTGCATCTAAGCTCTCTTTCAATGTTTAGGAAATGCTTCATCTTATAAGACTTGGTGGAATAAGAGCTCATTTCTCTGTCATGCAGTAGACCAGCTGTGCCTGCAGTGCCTTTGGAAGATTTGGATATGCCTGGATCAATTCTCCCTCAAAAGAGAATCTCAGGGAAGTTCTGCAGGTTAGGGGAATGAAGCCACACATATTTGGGAAAGTGGTTAGACTCTTGTATAGTCAGCTTTTATTTTTGTAACTAAAAATCTGACCATGGGTTAATTGGTGACCATATGATCTGAGCAATTCATTGTAAACTGGGTTTATCTAATACACTAGCCCATAAAATTAGGCAGACCCTTAATCACTCTATCATCAGGTGGAAGTGTACATAAAAGTTCTAGCTTTAAGCAAGTCCTGAAAGCACAGCTATTTTACATGAACATGAAACTTTCACTCCAGTGCAGCTAATCCTACAACATAGCCAAACTTCCTTCAACCCCTACCTATGAGTCAGTTCCTAGACTAGTTGATTGAGAAGGAAAACACTTGAGCTTCATTTACAGATGGTCTCACAGCTTAGGTTCTCCAGAAATAACTAGATGGAGTTTGTAATGCAGACCATTTATTAAGAATCAACACCTAAGAAAGGGAGGAAAAGCAGGATTGAGCAGAGGAAGAAGTCAAATGGTGATGGAGGAATAACAAAATTTGGTCAGCCCCATGGGGAACTCTACAGCATAGTGAACAGCATTGCACTGCATTAGGCTAATGGCCAGGACTCTATACTTCCATCTCAATCAATCACTGGGTATGTGCTGCCCTGGGAAAGTTATGCCCTCAGGGAGGGTGGCTTTTGCAACTGAGGTGAACCCTCAAGGGGCCAACATCTGGGGCCTATCTGGTGATGGATGAGGCAACTAGTCTTTCCTTACAAGATTAAAATAATCCTCCTTGTAAGGCTGAACTTTAAGTGGTATATCTGATTGTTCACTTTTCCTTGAAGGAAATATGACCTTGTAAAGAAGACTCTTCATACTGGGATAACAAAATTGGAAGATTGTTGTCAAGGAGCTTTGATGAAGCATGGGTGGACATTTTGGGATTGGCTCAAAATGGAAGAACTTTGGTTCCAATGCAAATGTTAATAAAAAGGCCTCGTTGATGGGGAAGGCTTTCAATAATCGGGTGGACAAAACGACTCTCTTTGTGAATGTTGGTCAGCCTCTTTCCACAGTCACTCCAGCCTCTGCTCAATAGGCTGAAAAACAAAGTGTCCTTGGTGTCAAGAATAAAGTCATTCAGGAGCTCATTATGGACCACACCTCCCCAAGGCTGGCCTATTTACTTCCAATGAGTAGTGAGCAATATGTTAGCAGCAGGAACCAATGTTGGGTGACCAACTCTTCCCCATCCTAATATGGCTGGCCTATTTACTTCCAATGAGGAGTGAGCAATATGTTAGCAGCAGGAACCAATGTTGGGTGACCAACTCTTCCCCATCCTAATATGGGATAATATCTCAGGGGAGCCAGCCAACCAGTTGAAGTCCAATTATGCTGGATCCTTACCATCATGGAAGGAATGTCAGTCGGATATTGGTGATAGGTTTGCTTTCCCTGCTCATATCAGAATTACGATCTGAGGAATCAAAGAATACTTTATTAAACATTACAGTGCTCCCAACTAATGAATAGTCACTTTATAGAAAAGAGGCAAAGGCAATGGACTTAGGACTGCATTCACTAAAAGCAGTTGGACATGTAAAATTATGGTATGGCCTATTAAAGACTCAGGCACTGCTGCGGAAGCAAATTCTCTGAATTGTATCTCAATATATAACGCTATTTCTTCCATCACCAGAATATATGGGTCTTGGAAACAAAGGTTAAAAGTGGGAGCGTCTTCTGTTAGTGTTAGACCTAGTCATCTAATGATCCACTTGAAAATTTTTGCTTTCCTTGCCCTGAAGCTTTGGTTTAGAGTTCTCAATCCCTAAGGAAGGAATGTTTCCATCAGCACATGGAGCGCTTATCTTGGCTATCAGTAGGTTTGCTGCTGCAAAATGGGAAAGGGGGGAGAATGGACAGGAACTGTAGAATTCCACATAATTATTTTTCCAGTGGCAAAATTTAATGCAGATCTGTACAAGAGTACCACAAAGCACTCAGATCCTTCAGTGATAACAGCTTAGTCAGAGAACCCTACCCAAGAGAGGTAGTGGCTGATAGCAAATGCCACGCAGAAATATTAATAAAGAGGGAAATCACACAAATTACTGCCTCCAAACCAACTTCAGAGATGACAACTATGGCTCTTACCCATATTTCTTTATTTGTTCTGTGTTGTATGTAATTATAAATTTGAACTTATTTTCTTCTTTCCTCTTCCCCTCCCCACTATCTTGTATAGATGTGCTAGTCAGCGGTGAACCTTCCAGTCTAGTCCATACATTATAGATAGACTCGTGACAGAACTAAGGGAGAATGGGACATCACACAGTCACACATGACTTGTTGCTGGCACCAAAAATTGTGAATTTTACTCCTCTTGGGAAGAGGGTAAGAGTGTGTATGGCTGTATGAGATTTTTTGCATCATGTTAATGAAAGCACTTTCTAAAGTTTGTGTTTCTACTATAGCATATCTACATGTTCCTAGAAACCTCATGTTCTGAAAAATCTTTTACAAATAGTTACAGGGCTTATCAGAAAAAATAGATTGGAGCAAGCATGTAAAATCTGTGCAATTTTGTAACCAGAGCAATAATAAGTACAACAGCTATTCTAGCCCCAGTTTTTTTTTTAAGATGTTGTAATTCCTAGTAAATACCACAGAATATCTTGGACTTTATTTTTTTTAATGGATTGTATGTAAGAAGAGGGTTGAGGCTGCTGATATCTGGAGACAAGGGCAAATGTACAAAGATTGGGCAGAAATCACACAATGAGCACTTGTTGAACAGAGTGCATGCCCAGAATAAACAGGCGGGAGCATGTGAACGGGCACCATGTACAGTTCGGTGCTCCTCCGCAGCCTACTGTGCTCAGCTGTGTAAACAGTCACTAGTTATGAGCTGATGACACAAAACATTTGTTCTCTGAGAAAAATCATAAGCACCTTCTGTGTTACGTTGACATCATTCCCTTATCAGTAAATCCTGTAAGCTCATTTCTTTATAAACATTCCAGAGCAGGCTGTGTAAATAAGGAAAGAAAAGCACAAATTGATTTTGGGTAACCAAAATCGGGGGCTGTAATGGACATCACTGTGGTTGTCCTGCGTGCCAGTATCATTCTTAAATTTGGAAAATTCCACTACAGAAGCCGAACATGTCAGATACTCACTTTGCTGACTTCTCTTTTTCATAGGCCCAGGCACACAACCTACGCTCACCAGTTAACAGACCCACAGGACCTTTTAAACCAAGACTAATAATGCAAAGAAAGAAGCGGAGACTGAGAGGAACTCTTTCAGGTGATTATGACAGCAGTTGAAGCAATGTCAGGTCACCTAGGGCAGGCAGCAGGAGTAGAGGTGAAAGTGACAGCCTATAGTGCCTGGTACCAGATGTGTTTCCAGGGCAAGCTGCAGGGTCTAGTGTTTGTGCCTGCAGCACAGACGCCCTTGCTGCTTCTATAGTGGTGTCATTTTGGACATTGTTTCTGGCGTCTATTGACTTGAATCGGATTCTCTTTCTTTCTGGATGATTCTTTGAACTACTTTGTGTCCTTTAATGAAATTATTTCCCTGCTTAACTCAGAGAGCAAAGCTTTTGTAGCTTGCAACTGAGAGGAGCCCTGACTGTCACAGCCAACTAGACTGTGAACAACTTGAGAGGAAGGACTGTGCCTCTTACCACTGAATCCAGAGTGTGTAACTTTGGGCCTGGAAGGCAGGAAGTGCTCAATAAATGCTTGTTGTATGAATAAATGAAGAGATGATGTGAGTGTGAGAAATAGATTTGCCCTAAAAGCAATGAGATCCAAGTAATTAAAATAACTAATATATTAAAACTGGAATAGCATTAAGATACTAATATGATCTTAATTATTACAATAAACGCTTTTTCTAATATTTCTACATAATAGTAATCCCTTGCACAAATGACAGGGATTACTGCCATTTTATCTTAGATAACATTTCATATTAGCTCTGTAGTAAGAAAAGAAAACTTGGTATCTTTTTGTTTTTCCTGCCTGATGCTAAGATGTTTATCATAGTTGCCTTCACTATGCTCTCAGCTTCCCAGCATTCCCTTGGGAATTTTTCTAACTATTCAGACTATAAACCCCATCAAATAGAGAACAGTGATTCACTCTGAATTGTACAGTGTTCTGTGCAAACTAAAATCTAACTATCCTTAATACTTCAACCTTACATCTGATATTTTCAGAAAGGTAAAACAACTTAAAAAAGTAAGGGAATTCATAATAATTACAGAAGAAGAAGGAAGTAAAGAAATTATAGGTTATTGAGAGTTGATATTTACATGCAAGATTTCCTTGTCTTTTAAGTTTAATGACTGATTAAGCAAATTATTATTTTTATTTTTTTTTGGTACGCAGGCCTCTCACTGCTGTGGCCTCTCCCGTTGCGGAGCACAGGCTCCGGACGCGCATGCTCAGCGGCCATGGCTCACGGGCCCAGCCGCTCCGCGGCATGTGGGATCTTCCCAGACCGGGACACGAACCCGTGACCCCTGCATCGGCAGGCGGACTCTCAACCACTGCACCACCAGGGAAGCCTTGATTAAGCAAATTTAATTCAAGATATCTAATGGCTCCAGCAGCCCTTCCTCAGTATTCCAACCAGAAGAGTTTGGACAAGCTTTAAAAAGCCAGCCTTTCAGATCTCTAGACCAGAAAAGGTCAAGGTAAGAAGACAGAGTTAGAAAGAACTATGAATGGAGTCTGGCTATAAAGATATATGCTGACCTGCTCTTTTGCATTAGCCAACAGCAGATGCCCAGATGCCCCTTGATTAGCTCTTTGTTTCACAAAAAGGAAGTTGTTGTTACTGTTTTAATCTTGACAGCAGACAAAAGGGGAGATCATATATATTAGCAACATACTTTTCTCCAAGATTTCTTCTTTTCCCTCAGAAATGGTACAGTGATATAAAGGAGGAGATACATGTATAAATACAATGCATTCATTTTGAATTTGGATTCAAAAAAATCAACGGACGTCACTTTGTTCCTACCAGCCTAGGCTGAAAGGTGCTTTAGTTAAGCAATTTCCCAGGGCTCCTTCTACATGTAAATGTCTTAGATTGCTATCCATCTATGAAAAAATAGAAAAATGAAAGAAGTAAAAGGAGTCTCCTCACATGGCCAACAGTCAATTTGCTACTACACTTTTCATTTTAAAAGGGTTTTATTGAGCCAGTTTCTAGTGCATTAACTTGGGAGACCTATTACATTTGAACAGGTTCCATGCTGGCAAACTGCATTTTGGAGTCACCAAGGATCCCTTGATGCTTTACCATCGGCTGACTAAATTAGTCTCCATTCCTATGGTTTTACACTTGGATTGACAGATGCACTACCTCATACTCTTGAACTACAGGAGTTGTTGTAGACTCTGAGAAATAGCATAGGGTTCATATTGGGAGTGAACTGGGCCCCAGGCTGCACTTAAGCAGATACTCATATGGTAAGGATCTTCCCTGGACTTTGGTAGGTTCCTCAGATATAAAGGAATATCAAGGAGGTAAATTGGTTTGAAATTCTTCCTAGAGATACAACATTACTTGGGGGAAAAAGTGTTTCCTTTCTGTGTGCCAGGAAGTAGGCTAAGCACCAAGGAACACTTAAAAGAAGCACAGGTTCACTGTGAATGGCAGACAAAATAACTCACAGAGAATTTTAGAAAACACACCAGTCTGGCTGGAGCGGGTTCTACTAGAACCTGTCATTGTTCCATCCAGATCCCCTAGAATACCCATCATTCTGTGCATCCAAACCCCAGGTTCTGTGTGCTTTGCATTTAATGGTTTCTACCTGAAACTGTCTTCAGAGGATTGGCCATGGGCCACTGGAGCGGCTTTGCCTGCTGGTGCAGAAAATCAGAAGTGCCTAGTAGTTTTGCACCATCCACACCTCCCTCCTGGGAAGAGCCAACAGCCAATGATTGATTGGTGTGGGAGAATGAAAGTCCACCTCCCTTGCATGGAGGCAGCACAAACTTGAGGTAAAATTAGCAGTCTAGAGCTCCCCATAGGATTGAGCTAGGGCTTGAACCCTTGTTTGGCTTTTCCTCTCCCCTGTCCTTCTTCTCCCACTCTCTTGCTAGTTTTTCCTGAGTATACTTCTTGATAAATTACTTGCTCAGGAATCCTTGTCACAGGGCTTGCTTCTGAAGAATCTGACCTAATACACCTTATTGAGGAGTCAGGACTTGCTTTTGCCTGAAGGGGAGATAGTATTGGATTTGGAAGTGAAGAGGGAGAAGCATTCTATCCCTAAGAATGCAGAATGAACACAAGAAAAAGACCAGGGTGGAGTTTGGAATTGGCATGATATATTGGAGTGCAATGAAGAGAAAATTATGGCTGGATTAAAAAGTTATATAAGGGAAGATGGAGAAATGTTTCTTCGCCTCAATTCATTTTTCACTACCTGCAAGAATACACTTTTTAAAAACAAAATTTCCCTTCCTAATACTCATGATTTGATTTGTTTTTTTCTTCCCAGAAAACCTGGGAGATAAAATCACAAGTACTCATCTCAGGTTTAAATATGTGCAAAATTAATTATATTAGGAGACTGAGAGGAAAGAATTTCTCCCTGGCCCTTACTGTAGTGTGGACAAGAGATTGTTCTACAGACAAGGGGACATAAGCAAATTAAAACTCTCTAGATTTTTGTTATGCACATACCTGATACTGAATGCTAAAAAGAAAATCAATGTAATTTTTTTAAAATTAAGACCCATAATTGTTGTTTAATCCTTAGCATGGCATGCAAGGGCTTTCACAGTCTGGCCCCATGCTGCATTTCAAGCCTTCTCTTCTGCTGTTTTCCTTCATTCATGTAATTGCTTGGTCCTTCACTGAGCTCCTTGCCATTATTTGAACACACTATACTATTTCACATTCTCATGCTTTGCTCTGCTGCTCCTTGAGATGCCCTTCTACCTCTTCTCTGCCCGATAAACTATTGTTCATATTTCAATACCTAGCTCAAATTTCACATTCTCTGTTACCTTATCCTGCCTTTTCAGGCAGTTTATCATTTTTGTGTCTGTGTTGACCATACTTGGAATATACCTTCACTATAGCACTTAGAATATTACCTTTAAATGCAAACAAGTCTATAGGATCCTGGAGAAATGTGTTTATTCCATTTTTGTTTCTTCTTCCCATTGTAGTGACTGGCGCACTCCTAGCTCTCCATAATTGTCTGCAGACTTTGAAATGAATTGAATAAATTTGAGTGGATAAGGTAGAACCAAATTGTAAGACCTCTTGGATGGTAACCTAACTTGAATTGTAGCCTAAATATAGGGTGGAACATTTAGAATTCTTTGATTAAGAAATTATTTGATTACATTTTTTGGTTTAATGGAAAAATGTGTGAGATAATAAAACCATCACTATTTGCTCCATGCCTGCAGCCTCTAGATCCTGCTGTGTGTTTCCAGCAGCCAGGAGGAGAGGATACCCAAACTGGTCCACACAATTGTGACTAGTTTAAGCGTTTCTTACTTCATATATTCAACAACAGAATTGAGGATATAAGAGGCTTCCTAAAAGTATGGTGGTTAAGAACAAGGAGTTTAAATCTGAGAGATTTAGATGGAAATACTGACATCGGCAGTTACAACTGTATAACACTGGGCAAGTTATTTTTCATTAGTGAAATAAGGATAAAGCACTGACCTGATACAGTTGTAAAGAATAGTACTGTTAGATAATGTCAGTATTATTGAGGCTTTCTCTAACAATTATTTCTCCTTTTTTTCAGGAAGGATTTTCCCAGGATGCCCCATTGAAAACGTACTAGCATTGTTATTCCTCTAGGAGATGGGAATTCCAGATTGAGGGACCAGCCATATGGAGGCATAAAAGCACGTGGTATGTTCACACAGTGAGTCTCATGACTCACTTTTCTGCTCCTACCCTTACATCCCTTCGCATAGACTGAAGCAGTAGCTAACCTAGGTCTGAATGCCTCAGCCCTCAATGTCTCCTGGAAATATTATGGGCTTTCTGGGCCTGACTTAGCTATCAGAATAGCCTCAAATCACTGACTGGTTTTCAACTCCTCCTCTACTCCGCTGCAGAGACCTGGCGGTAAGTTCTGATTGCCCTAGGCAGCAACAACATGCCGGGTCCTTTTGTGACCTATGTAACATCTAGGCATTTGTAATCACCATAGGATCATATGTATTTCTTTTCAAAAGACTGTACTCTTAGGACATGGAATCTCATCTCTTCTATTTTTAATTTTTATTATCTACAGAGATGAATATTACACAGCATAGCCAGGAATTTTTAAATGTGAGGAAATCTCTTGATTCAACCATTCTGATCAAGTGACTAACAGGGGCCCCAGGTTTTCCCAGAAGGCTTATCTATTTCTCAGAGTCTCTCACATTAGGAAAGAAGCTTTAGCATAGCCTAAACGTTTATGTTCCTCTCTTCTTCTTTTCATGTACTTTCCATCAATTTAAGGCCAAGGCTCTTGGCTGTTGAGAAAACAAAAGTATTATTCTGGTTCCCAAGGCTCTCCTTTATTTTATGTAAAAATTGTTTTCTGTTAAGGCCCAGCCACACACTAGAGTGCTTTCACCTACTTCTGGTCATAGAACTCACCTGTGACCATGGAGCTCCATATCCTCAATTGCTTCACCTCTTCTTCAGCAAGCCCATCCTGCACCACAGGGCCTGCACTCATCATTGCTGCAAAGGCCAGCTCTACCTCCTAGACTCCCCATCTGGGATTTCCAACTTCTCCTTGAGCAACATGGACAGTGACCCGCCCTCCTCAGTAAATCACTCCTCTGGATACTCATTTCCTAATATTCTCTCTCTCTCTCTCTCTCTCTCTCCCTCCCCCCCACCTCTCTCTCTCCCCATCGCCTCCCCACACACACTCATATAAACACAAATATCAAACACGTGAGAATGATCCCTCCACCAAGAGCATGTTTTTCCCATTCTGTCACGACCATAGAGCAAGATTCACAATGTTTTTTTATTTACACACACAAAAACTCTATACTTGGATTGATGAGAAATACAAATTTAAAATCCATAGGGTTTATGGGATATATATGGAATAGTTGTATTATAACACATTTGCAACATTTCAGCCACAAATTAATCATTAGGTATTTCTATATTTATCCACAAGCTCCCTCACCTGCCACTCACTACCACTACTTAATCTGTCTCCTTATGAGAGCTTCCAAAGCTCCCCTGACCACAGTCCTTTGCACCTTTCTTCCTTCCTGGCCTCGCTACAGCACTTACCATTTCTTCCTCATGTATTTCCCTCCTCCAAACATGCATTCCCAAGCCCTCTTTTAATAAAATTTTCAAGTTTGCAAAAGATCCTCCAGTTACTAGGATGCACCTGCCTTAGAAAACA